TAAGTGATGGATGACTGTATATCCAGTTGCTTTTTCACTGTTTGCAGTTGGATGTTGTATTAGGGTTCTCCAGAGAAATAGGATCAATAGAAAATATGTATATGTGGGTAGAGCACTCCTTAACTTACGATGGGATTACATTCCAAATAAGACCATTATGAGTTGATACTGTCATTAACTCAAAAATGTATTTAATACACCTTACCCACCAAACATAGTTGAGCAACGCAGCACACTGTGGAGTACTAGGGGTTTGCCTTCATGATCCTGTGCTCACGGGATCTGTGATTGGCTTTTCCCAGCATCAGGCTCTCACTGAAGTCTCCTGCAGGGAGAAGGGCAGCACAAGTGATAGCCGCTGAGACAAGAGACAGAAGAGCATATTTGAGAAGTTTTTAGATATGGTAATTATCAGGTATGGAAGATAAGATTAGATTTTTATGTTTAAAGAAATAAAGAGATTGAAATATCAATAAAGGGCAGGAGGTGCTAAAAACATCCAATAATTTTGGAGGAAAACCAAATAGACCTCTATAAATAAAATTGATATGATTTAACAGCAGATTTATTACATGTGAGAGAATTAGTGAATTAGAGAATTAGTGAATTATTATTAGATCTAAATATATTATCAAGACTGAATCACTGAGAGGTGAAAAGATAAAAATAGGAAATAGGGATAAAAGTACAATAAAATAAAGAGAAAATTTCTAACATGTTAACTGGCTTTTTAGAAGACACAATAGAGGAGATGGAAGTTGAATATATTCAAACAGTATAAATAAAATAATTCCACATCTAATCACATCAAAAGGAAATTGTACAACACAAAAGAAAAGAAAAATCTTTAAAACAGCTAGAGGAAAAAGACTGACTACCTTCAAAGTGGTCCTACCTCCAAGTGAGTGGGACTCACTCTGTACAGAAAGATTCTTGACTTAGCTCTGAAATCAATTTTGGAATGCATAGAAAGCAAAGCACAAGCAAAAAATTTTTAGACAGCAAAGAAAAAATATGCACACCCTAAAGGCAGGTTGTGGATTCCACTCACCTCTCAGAGAAGAGACAAGCAATGCACCCCGGGTTGAACTTTCTGAATATATATAGGATTTTCCTAGGAAGAAAAATGTAGATTTCTAAGAAAGCTTTCATAAAAATCAAATATTTGATATTTGGGGTTCACAATGTTTCTTTGTTAAGCATTCTATCCATAAATCAGATATGGGTGCATTGTATAGGGCTTTGAATCTGGTGACATTTAAATTTATTATGCTTTTGTTCTAGTTAATCTGATACAAGCATACACTGGAGGTTTTATTCATCTAACTAATGAGACAGGCATAGCTGATCATGCTTATAGAGCCAAGACTCCACCTAGAAAGGGTCTCTTCTCTCTCCTTGAGAGCCAACCTATCTCAAAACAGATGGCTAGTAGATTGATACATGAGTTTTTTGTAATTTTTTCTTTCGGTCTCTCTCTCTCTCTCTTCCTTTTTGTTGCTGGGGAGCATCAAAGGCCTTGCACATATTAGGCAAACACTCTACCACTGAGCTACGTTCAATAACGAAAAGTCAGAGTCACAGAGTTATAAAGTAGTAGAGCTAGGTTTTGAAGTTCAGGTACTCAATCAATAACATATTGCATTCTGAGTGCAGTATCGGGCTCATTTATTTAGGAAAGCATTACAAATAAAATTGGAACAAAGAAGCAGTATCCAAATCATTCAAGTTCTGAATGTTCTTGAAAAACCTTAACTCATTATTATAATATGTATCCTATTTTTAGGATGCAATGCCCCCTTAGTCCTGGTACCACCAAGACTAATCTGGTATTTTGTCCTCCTCCAAATCAAGCTGGAGTCAATAATGGGGATCTGGCTTTAGTTCTAAAAGTTAAGGATGGAACTGATGAAAATAATGAATAGCCCACTGATAGTTGTAATGATTCTATGAAACTGATTTTAAGCATTTTGTCATAACTTTTGGACAAAATTGTAGCTCTTTTCCTGCAGGTGGCATTATTATATTTTCAAATACTGCTTTCTCCTTTTGGGCTCTGGCTAACAATTAACAGACTGAACTGTGATTTCACTTTAAAACTTTCAATTCAAGTTTTTATTAATATTGTAAGCATGTTGGGGATTTTTGCAGTAATCAAAGTTATGGTGAGTTTTCAAAATAAACTAGGAATTATTCCAAACACACTGAAAAATTTTACACAATTGTACTAGCATCTAGATTAAATATTAATATTTTAATATTTGCTACCATTCTTTCTCTGAATTAAATAAATTGATTAAAAAATAAACTATTAGTTGCAAATAACTCCATTTTTCCCCCTTAACTTTCCTATTCATTTTTTTTTTTTTAGGACTTTTACTACAAATGTGTGTATCCGTACATAATGGGCTCTGACTGCTTTTTGGTTCATTTGATCAGTTGAGGCTGCTCAACCATCCACCATGGCTATGACGCCTCTGATTTGTTCTTACAATTCTGCCAGGATTTTCCACATTGTCAAGCCATGCTATTGTCTATGTTCTACTTCAAAAATCCTTTTTATTGTGCCTAATAAAGCTTTATATAGTTTGGGGTTAGAATTTGTCTGGTATAACCTTTTATTTTTAAAGCTCTTATTTTATTTTATTTTTTTTAAGAAAGACTCCATCTTTATTATTTATTTATTTATCGGTAGTGGGGATATAACTCAGGGGCTCTTAACCACTGAGCGACATCCCCATCCATTTTTATATTTTATTGAGAGACAGGGTCTTACTGAGTTGCTTAGGGCCTTGCTAAATTGCCAAGGCTGGCTTTGAACTTGCAATCCTCTTGCCTCAGGCTTTCTAGTCACTGGAATTACAGGCCTGTGCCACTGTCTCTGGTTCTTCACTTACTTTTATTGTGTTGTTGTTTTGACCCTTTTTGTAGCCTTATACTTAAAAAAAAACAAACAAAAAAAAAAAAAACATTTTTATTGTGAAATATAAAATTTACTGCCTTATTTTTAAATCCCCAGTTTAGTGGTATTAAGTACTTTCATACTGTTGGGCAAACATCATTACCATCCAGCACCCTAACTCTTTTCATTTGTAAAAATTGAAATTCTACACCCCCATCCCCACCCCTGGCAGCCACCATTCATTCTACTTCCTGTTTCCATTCATTTGACTTCTCTAGGTGTCTAAGATAAGTGGAATCATATGAATTTTGTCTTTCTGTGATTGAAAATTCAACAGCATTTAGTTGAATTTTAAAAATTTCAACCTGAAAAACCCTGTTCTATAACTGCAAGTTTAGTATATTTACACATATTGTAATTAATGATACTTTTGGATTTATTTCTTTAATTTTGTGAGTTTTTAAAATGTATTGTGCTTTTTCTTTGCTTCTGTTTTGCTCTTTCCTGCCTCTAATAAACTGATACAGTTTAAAAAAAAATTTTAAGTCCTTTCTTCTAATTCTACTGCATTAGAAGTAATCTATATATTTTTTGTTATTACCCTTACACTTTTATCATACTTAGATGGCTAAAAATGAATATGATTTGGTAATATTTCTCTATACTCCTAGATAATAAAACTCCTTACGAAGTTTAAATTGAATTCTTCATTTCTCATCTTATGTTTTATGATTATACTGTATTTGGTTTTGCTTTATGTTTTCATTATTATAGGTTTATTATTTTTGTTTTATATACTTAATCCTTATTTACATCTTCACACATTTGCCATTTTCTCTTATCATTACAACACTATACTACAACTTGATCTTCCTTATTGGATTCTATCTCCTTCTTCCTGAAGTTCATCCTTTACTAGCTCTCCCTCAGCACTTGAACTCAATACTGTTTAAGTGAATAAATGAATTTAATCAAACAGCTTTCTTTAAACAAAATTAAACTACTTGAGGTATCTAGTGCGTAATTTTAGAATGATAGATTCTTCCTTGTTTATTAGGTAGATACAGGTCTCAGTACAGGGATTCAAGAAGAATAAATAAAATACAAAATAGGGCTGGGGATGTGGCTTAGTGGCTGAGTGACTGAGTTCAATTCCTGGTACTCCCCTCGCCAAAGAGAGAGAGAGAGAGAGAGAGAGAACTAAAGCCCTCCATTTTCCCTTAATTTGTTCCCCTAGAATTCTCTAATATCAGGACCACCATTTACCAGGACGAGCTTCTGGCTTCTGTTTCATTCCTAGCTTGCTTGGCCCAGATGTCTGCTCACTTGGGAAAGCAACTTCCTCCCACAGTGGGTTAACCTGATGAGTAAGCATGTATACCCTGAGTCAGACCACCTGGGATCTAATGCCCTCTCCTCCCTTACTGGGCAAGTTAGGTAACCTCTCTTGGACTCAGTTTCTTTTATCTGTAAAAAGAGGATAATAACATATCTACATCATAACTTTGTTGTGACGCTTGAATGGGCTAAAATGCAATGCTTAGAATAGGGCTGGTACCTACCAGCACCTGCCAGAACCTGCCAGCACCTGCCAGATATTAACTGTGTTGGTTGTTAATGTCAGCTCCCCTCCTGAACTCTATCTCTTCCACTGGCTTTAGACAACTGAGACTGAATATGACTGTTCAATTGGGTTTTGACTTTAGCCCCTGTTGGTGGAATATACAGATTTATGCCGACTACCAAGGGGTTTCATTCAGTAGCCTTCAGAGGATTTTCTCTGCACTTAAAACTAAACTATCAGAAGATCATATTCTATGTAAAACTGTTTTATTTTAGGATTAGTCAAAGTTTATAAAAAATTGTTCTCATTTTAGGTGGAACTTGATTTCAAAGATTGGTTGATAAATTAATTCACTCAGCTCATGTATCCACTGCAATTAAACTTTATAATAGGCCCCAAATCATTCTTAGAACTTAGAACATCGTCACAAGGCAATGAACCATACCTATTTTTTATTTGATGAGTGGGTCAGGTACTTACTGGGAATGGTTGTGGTAAGTCACGCATACAAACATATTTCTTCATTCCTTCTAGTGTGTAAAGAATTCTTGAACCGATTCTATAACTACTTGATAGCCAAAGGAGTTCATTTTTCACTGGACACTATAGAAAACGAATTAATCAGCTTTTGCTTGGATACCAAAGGAAAAGAAAACCGCCTGGTATGTTAAATTTTCACCTTTAATTTTTCCCATGTGCTTAAAGAAAGCTGTAACTAGTTTCATTGCTCACCTGGACTTGATGTTCTACTTGAAGCACATTCCTTGTGGACAGCAAGAGGAAGTCAGTCTTCTAAAAAAATGATCTATGTATTTTCATCCAGAATATATTATTTTATTTGTCTTTCTGAGTAAACAATGGGCTAACAATTGTATATTTTCTTAAATGAAATTGTAAGAATGAATTCCTAATAAGAACTTACTGTCCTGAGTTAAGAGTGGGTAGACTTTCCATTTCTTACCAAGACAACTACTCAAACCTATCAAAACATTTTATACTATTATCAATACATAATTAATGAAGTGTTTATATTTTCTTGTTATGGCATTTAGATGGTGTTTCCTGGGTTTACACATATAGCTTATTTCAATATAGTGTTCTACATAACTAAGGACAATTTTATACCAATTTATTCTTCCCTAAAATGTTCATGTTGAATTTGTCAGTTTAATCTGCATTTTTGACCACTTAACTACCAATACATCATGAAATTTTTGTCATTTATTTGTGCCAGTAAGTTTTATATTTTTATATGTAAATTTTTCTTTTTCCTTTTTTCTTCCTGCAATACTGGGGATCGAACCCAAGGCCTTGTGTATGCTAGGCCTCTGAGCTACATTCTTAGCTCTGCACATAAAATTCTTAAGTCGGGTAGCTTGAAAGGAAGTATTGCATGATGACAGCCAGGGTGCTGGATTTTATAATTCTGACTCTTCTACTTGCTGGCTGTGCAGCCTTGGATTTTTTGGGTAAAATGTGGGGATAATAATAGTTCTTGCTTCACAGGATTGTTATGAAAGGTAAATAAGTTAATGCAGCCCTTGTACAAAGAAAACACTTAGTAAGTGTGAGCTTTTCTCACCAGTCTTTCCACATTGAGCGTGTAGTAAGGTGCTTCTAAGTAGGATGATCATGAGAGTGGAGTCACTTGTTTTCTTAGTAGGGGTTAAAATTTAATAGCTGGACCATGAAAACTAGGTTAACCTTTTTCTCCCCTTTCTATAATGGATTACTTGCTTTTTTCATTGCCCAGGATGCTAAATTCTCTTCATTATCAACAGTGCTATTATCTAGGAGCCACAAAAGATGCTGCCACCAAAATCCTAAGTGAAGTCACACGCCCCATGAGTGTACATATGCCTGCAATGAAGATATGTGAGAAGCTGAAGAAAATGGACAGCCAGATCTGTGAGCTGAAATATGGTATCACAAGACAAGTGCTTTTTCCAATATGTCTGATTGTATTGCCAAACCTCAAAACACAGGGACATGTTTTTTAAAAAGTCAGAATTAGAAGCAAAGGAATTCTCCACTCACTGATAGGTTTCTGGGCTGATAAATGGTATCTTGTACCCTCTGAGCTCCTTTGAGGGAAGAGAAATAAATAGTCCTGGCATAATCAGTCTTTGGGTGAAACTGCCAATCCAATGAGCAAAGTTTAAATTCCTAATTTACCAAGGCAATATCAGCCATGTCTGTCAAGGAAAATTTCAAAATACAAGAGAGTAGCTACTTATGGTGATTTAGCTCATGGTAATATATTAAGACAAAGTTTGAATCTAGGGTTGGGGTGTGGCTCAGTGGTATGGCACTTGCCTAACATGCATAAGACCCTGGGTTTGATCTCAGAACTGCAAAATCAATAAATAAAACAAAACTTGCACCTATTCAGAGATGATAAAATAATTTAATTTCTTCATATGACTCTATCTTTCCTACACTTGTCTGTCATTCTACCAGCTTTAAATTTTAGGAAATAGGTTATTCACATCAAATCAGGTTTGGCATGATGAAACAGCTTATCAGCGGTCCCAAAAATAAACAGCAAGGAAAGGAAGAAGATGCCCTATTTTAAACATTATCCTTGGCCTTTTAAATTTCACATAGTTCGATCTATTTGTACACTGGGGATTTGAATCTGGGCCAGCCTTTTGGGTAAATTGAGTAAGTATAATAAAAGGCTGGAGAATTCTTCCCTCAACTGTCCTTAACACCTAAAATTCCACCAATCAAGACTCACTTCTTCAGCTTAAGTCATTGTTTTATGTTACTTACCCAATGTAGAACAATAGACTACCTAAGTAGTTAGCATCCAACTCTCAATTATTTGTCTTATTTCCCAGAACAGCTATGTAATATGCCTATGCACCAGAGCCACATAGCAAACTTGAAATAGGTTTAAGTCTGAAAGATACCACAGATAACTATTTCTCAATTTGCCAAACAGGCCATAACTTCCAGGGTAGTTATTATGGGCAGGCAACCCTCTTTATTAGCTTCAAAGTAGTGAAGCGGAGGCAGGAGTCACAGAGTCCACATAAACAATATTCACAAAAGAGACAACCATGTGCTGATTCTTTAATTCAACAAGTTTTTTTCCCAAAATACTCTTATTTGCATGAGATCTTACAGGATCCTTAGAAAACAGAAAAAAATAATCAGATATTGAGACAAAATGAATATTTGCTAATATTTTGGTAACACTGGCCACTAGAGGCCCTTCGGGAGCCATGAACTATTTTTAACTTTGGTATTGACTTTTTCTTTGTAGTTTTAGGGTGTCACAAAGATGTTTCCCCTTTTAAAAATTAATGCAAGATGACAAATTCTGGAGAAAAAATATCAAAGAAGCTACTGACACTTTCAGGAAAGTATTTTTCTCCTTCAGCTATTTCTCTTGAATTAATCAATAGTACCAAATTATTCTTCATGTCAGGAAAGAAGAGACTGAGCAGGTAACTTTGTGCTGTGGAATATTAATAAGTTGGCTTATTTATGACAGTTTCTACTTCAAAGGTATTCTGTCAAAGCAGCCACAAATTAACAACCAGATGAGTGTGGAGTTGGATGTTTTCAAGGAAGGTGTCATTTGGTTTTTGAACTAAAAAAATGTTTGCCTTTGCATATTTTGTTTTTAATAGCACAAGGAATCACTCTAAGGATTCAAGGGTTCTCTGAAGCACAGAGTATAGATGACCATCCAAAAATTAAAAAAAAAATCTTTAAAATCCAATTTTTAAACTTGTATTCATTTATAGGACATTTTGTACAAACTGCTGAATGACTATTGGGTTTTTAATGTTTTAAAATGTGATATTCCATTATGCAGGCAGAAAAAGAAAAAAACATTTTTAAAAAAGAAGTCAGGCTGAAAAAGTCGTGGGCTGGATCTAATTACTTAATAAGTAAATGTGAATGTTGTGTCCGTGTTCAGGGCAAACACTTGGCAGTGGGGGAGAGGCAGAGGAGACTCCTTTTGAAAGAGGAAAATTACCCATTTCTGATAGGGAAATTACAATCATGAGTTTATTATAGATGAGCTTAAATTTTTCTTATTTTTGGACATGGCAATAGAGAGCTGAGTTCTTCTTTTTAGAGAGAGAGAGAGAGATTTTTTTTTTTAATATTTAGTTTTTAGTTTTCGGTGGACACAACTACTTTATTTTATCTTTATGTGGTGCTGAGGAACAAACCCAGAGCCCCGCGCATGCCAGGTGAGTGCGTTACTGCTTGAGCCACATCCCCAGCCCCGAGAGCTGAGTTCTTAATGTTCTCTGCAGGTATTCTTTTTAAGCAGGGAGATGGTAGTCTTGGTAGAGGAGTTAGATGCTGGTGACAATAGTATTGGCAAGAATTTTAGGAGCCAGGTTGACTGATACCATAGCACTAGCATTGGAGAAGTAGGTATACCACAAAGGACCACAAATGAATGCTGGGATAATTTACTAATCCTGTTAGGGTGGGGCATTAGGTGAGTTTAAGTAGAGATGCAAAATAATTAAGGATTAGTGAAAATGTTCCTAATTTTGTCCCTAGGTTTTGGTTTCTTTACATTTTTATTGAAAACTCTATAGTGCTCATCTGTTTTACTGAAGTCATGTATAAAAAGTGAACTGTGGACTGGGTCTGTAGCCAAGTGGCAGAGAGCTTGCTTAACACTGTGAGGCACTGGGTTCCATCCTTAGCACCACATAAGAAAATAAACAAATAAAATAAAGGCATGCTGTCCATCTATAACTACAAAAAAATAAAAAAAAGAAAAGTGAACCATAACTGGATGCTTAGCTGCTTTCGTTGGCTACAACCAAAGCCATCCAAGAGACACTGCCTTTATGGATTTCATCTTTTTAAAAAAATTATTTATTTATTTATTTATTTATAGTCATACATGACAGCAGAATGAATTTTGACATATAATACATACATGGAATGTACATACATCAATCATATTGTCAATTCTATTCTGCTACCCTTCCTATCCTCCTTACTCCTTCACTCTTCTCCCATTTCTCTCTATCCAATCTAATGTGACACACTTTTTTTTTCTTTTTCTCATTACAACATCATATATATATTCTGTATAATAATGAGGTTCTCCTTCCATCTTCCGTGCAACTCCTCTTCTCCCTCTTTTTCCCTCCCACCTCTCTTCCCTATTTAGTGGTAGTCTTCTTCTCATGCTCTTCTTCCCTATCCCATTTTGAGTCACCCCCCTTATATCAGAGAAGACATTCGGCATTTGTTTTTTAGGGATTGGCTAACTTCACTTAGCATAATCTGCTCTAATGCCATCCATACTTTAGGAACAGCAATTAGGATTTAGTGCTATTTGTTTTAGAAATGCTGATCTTGAGAACCTCACAGAACTACATAGGCTCATGTTTTGAGCTGTTATAATCCCTGGGAGAGAAAGAAAATTAGATAAAGCACTGTACAGTTCTTTAGGCGCTTTGTATAGTTCTTCCTTGGTATACTCAGGGACTGGTCTAGGACCCCTTGTGGACACTAAAATCCTCAGATGTTCAATTCTCTTTTATAAAATGGTGTAGTGTTTGCATAGAACTTATTTACATCTCCTTTTTACTTACTTACTTTATTTTGTTATTTATTATGGTGCTGAGGATCAAGCCCAGGGCCACATGTATGCTAGGATAGTGCTCTGCTACTGTATAACCCCCCCCCCATACTTTAAGTCATCTAGATTGTATTAATTTCATTATTTTAATATAGAGATGATTTAAAGTATAACAGACCATACAGTGTAATGTAATGTTGTTATATTGTATTGTTTAGGGAATAATGATAGGGAAAACGTTGTATGTGGTCAGTACACAGAAGCATTTATCCACCTCCCCTGTATCACCAAACATTTTCAGGTGAATCCAAAGATGCAGAACTTCTAGATAGAGAGGGCCTCCTGTATGTACTACATTTTCCTTAGGTGTGTCTTGGTTTCCATGGAAAGCAGAACTGTTACCATGTTGGATCACAGGGGACTCACCACTATGTGCCTTTGTGTTTTACAGGACTCTAGGGAGCTGTGTATTTTAACTGTGCTTTTCCTTTTTGGCATTTAGAAAAGAACTTGGACTTGGCATCTGTGGACCTGCAGAAAATGAGAGTGGCAGAACTGAAACAGATACTGCACAGCTGGGGTGAGGAGTGCAGGGCTTGTGCAGAGAAAACCGACTATGTGAATCTAATCAAAGAACTAGCACCCAAATACACAGCAGTGCACCCCAAACCTGAACTCTGATGGATACCCATACACCATGAATTGTAATTAGAGAGAAATAACTCTTGAGAACAAGGACATGTTTGTTAAAGATGACTAGGGATTGCATTGCATTGGGTCTCAGGCTTTTTGGTCCTAATATTATATATCAGAATTTTGTTACTTAGGCTTATAACTAAAATTACTAATATCATTGGCATCTTACAAATGTACCAGAACCTAAAAGTGCCTTTCACATAATTTTCTTTGAAGAACTATGTAAGTTATCATTGCCTACCTCTAAAATTGGGGGAAATGAACTACCTAAAATTGATGAAGTAAATTGATCATAGGGTGAAGGGAGTGCTCACAAATTTCTCTTTGTACAAGATTTTTAAATTAAATACATTATACTAGAACAAAAGAAACAACAGCTAGCTTATCTGACATACATCTTCAACCCCAAATAATTACTGAGGGTTTGTGTGTGTGTGTGTGTATAAATATATATGTATTTTATACACTCTATTTTCAACTGCAAATCATGTACATTCTGGCTCTTTGATGTCAGAATGGTAGTGCATTATGCTGGAAGTTAGTGTTTCCCATCTGAGGAAAACATACTTAAACCTACTTAAAAAAAAAATAGATCAAGACTCCACATAAGAATATCCAATGTTTTGGCAAGTTGTAATTGTGCTTGAATTGCTAAGTGAACCAAGCTCAAAGTCTTATTCATTGTTTATTATTGCACATCAGATGGACTTTTGATAGAGGATTAAAGCATATTAAGAGCACTTGCAGACAGCATGGAACTTTATGGTTCTTAATGCTGTTTTATCAGCTTTAAATTACAAAGTTGTACTCAGTTCTATTTTCCTACCACAGAAGGAAAAGAAAGCCATGGTAGAAATGGTTGTTTTGCATGGGGATGGAGGTGGGGGAAGACTTAAGAGCAGTGTTTCTTTGAAACTTTCTGTGGTGATGGGAATGTCCTACATCTAAATTGGGTGATCATGAATGTGATTGTCACACTCATCCAGTAGTACAATTAAGATCTGGGAAATTTGTATATGTAAAAAACTGCCTTAACCCTGCCGTTCAGGAGGCTGAGGCAGGAGGATTGAGAGTTCAAGCTATCCTCAGCAATGGGGAGGTGCTAAGCAATTCAGTGAGACACCGTCTCTAATAAAATACAAAAAATGGCTGGGGATGCAGCTCAATGTTTGAGTGCCCCTGAGTTCAATGCTGGTATCTATCCCTCTCCCCCCCAAAACTGCCTTAAGTCAGGTACTGTGTGGCATACCTAAAATCCCAGCAACTTGGGAGGCTGAGACAGAAGATTACAAATTCAAGACCAGCCTCAACAACTGAGCAAGGCCTTAAGCAATTTAGCAAGATCCTGACTCAAAGTTTAAAAAAATTAAAAGGGCTGGGGATGTAGCTTAGTGGTAAAGTGCCTCTGAGTTCAATCTCCAGTACCAAAAAAATTAAAAATTAAAAAACAAAGCTCTAAAATTACTTGAAAATTGTCTAAAATTAATCAATTCAAAACACGTTGTTTATTTAGAGAATTGCATTTCCTGACTGGGGAGTCATTTTGGGGAGTGCAGGAGAAATTTTCCAGACTGAAAAGTATATATTGAAAATATAATGTTACCTTTTTTAAATGCTACAGAGGTAAATGACTTTTCAGCTGAGTGGTTAGAATGTAACCAAACTTTTCACAGAATTAGTGGTTCCCAAGGAGACACATTTATTATGTAACTGAAAAATTAAAATAAAAAAGCTTTGGTGTAATGACAGGCCTGAAGTCGTCATTGTTTCTGGATTTCATCAGCTATCTTATCATCATGTGTAAAGAACCTACTTTATTTTGAATTATGTCTTTAAAAAGCTCAAAGTTACGACTGGGGTTGTGGCTCAGTGGTAGAACGTTTGCCTGGCATGTGTCAGCACCACATTAAATAAATAAAGTCAAGGTATTGCATCCATCTATAACTAAAAATATATTTTAAAAAAGCCCAAAGTTAGTTTTTAAAAACTTCTTTTTAAGTATTTATTTTTTGTTGTAGTTGGACACAATCCTTTTTTTTTTTTAACTTTATTTTTATGGGCCTCACACATGCTAGGTGAGCGCTCTACTACTGAGCCACAACCCCAACCCCTTTAAAAATTTTTTATAGACTTTTTATTTGTTTCTTGTTTGTTTTTGCATTTTGAGCTTTTAGTGAAACTTGTCTTGAAAATAATGTTTACTCTCTGACTTCAAAATTGGATCATATTTCTGTGTCACATTTTCAGGATATAAATCTAGGTAATAAGAACACCACTCAGCAGGTCATTCCAATCAACGATGGTTAGGCTAGTTTTTTTTCTTTTTTTAAGAGAGAGAGAATTTTTAATATTTATTTTTTAGTTTTCAGCAGACACAACATCTTTGTTTGTATGTGGTGCTAAGGATCGAACCCGGGCCGAAAGCATGCCTGGCGAGCGTGCTACCGCTTGGCCACATCCCCAGCCCTAGGCTAGTTTTTAAAGAGAATTTATATAAGTGCTTCTCAATGCTTCAATTGCACATTCAGTGACTCTGGGGTGGGACCTGAGCATTTTTAAGAAGCCCCCAAATGTCTTCGCTGCTCTTTCAGGGGCCACACATGAGTGGCAAGGGCCCAAGTCATGATCCTGTGATTGATATAATTTTTCTTTTTGCCAGTCTGAATCAGTTAAATTTTTGATAGAGCTGAATATAACAACAACAGCAAAATGTGCAAGAATTTCTTCTTTCATGTTAAAGAAGCAGAGAACTAGCTAGTCCAGAGTAAATCTGGCAGTTCCCCAAAGTTAGCAGGGACTCAGATCCAGTCATTTTGCTTCACATCCTAGTGGCAGGTGTCATTTTTAATCCACAGTCCAGATTGGCTGCTGGAATTTCTTATTGCAAAAGGGAGAAGTCTGGAAAGGACTGGCCTCTCACCTGAGCCCCTGCCCCACCCGGGTCCTCATCCCACTTAACGTTTCCACACCAGAAAGTAAGCACATGTCAATTTGGTTGTAAGGGAGTTTGGGATCATTGTTGCCCAGATGAAACCAGGATTTTTTTCTTTCTTTCTTTCTTTTTTTTTTTTTTTTAACTGAGGAACAAGGGAAATAGTTTGTGACCACAAACCATCTCTGCCATATAGTGTCAATCTTTCCTTGCCATGAATCTAAGGCTATAATTCCTGATTATAATACCTTAAATAACTCTTCCTCCTCCTTTTTATTTGCATCTTTCATACATATAGGCTATGACATTTCTTTCTTTTTTTTTAAGCTCTATAAGAACTAGCTATTTTTTTTTGTTGTTCTCATTTAAATCCCTTCTTCTGTCATTGTTGTGTATTTTATGCCCTTTTTTTATGTGTTTTTACCCCAAATTCATAAGTATAGAAGATTTTGAAATGAGACATTTTGACAAAAGTGAAAAAACTCTGGGCTAAATAGGTTCATGTGAACAGTTTTATTCTGGGAAGACATGATTCCTGATCTAGTCTAGATTTCAAAAATTCCAAGCAGGAGACCCTTTAATTTGGTCCTTAAATGAACATTGGCGTTCAGATATAACATTTAGAGCACAACTTAAAAGTTCTAGTTCTTCATTTGAACATGGATAATCTGTAATCTACATTCCACCAAAAAGGTTTAAACTTAGACTAAATAAGCTTGGCCTATCGGATAAGAAGATATTTAATTAGTAGACCTGAAAATCACAATGGAGCACTCTGTGATCCAAAGGCCCCATCTGTGGGTTTGAACAGCTCTTAATAAGAGTCTTTTCTAAGTAAGTAGCTATGAGCTTTCAGCCTGTGGATTTCATCCCAAAGAAGTAATTGGTGCCCATTTTTTCATATTACGCTTGATATAAAACAATCCCACCCAAAGAGAAATCCTCCTGGGCATGCTAATGTACTGAATTCAGAAACTTTCTTTTAGTTTTTTTTCCCCTTTTGTTTTAGGGGAATCTTAAATTTGTAATACGAATAAAGGATAAAAGCTAGGAATTTAATTGCATCAAGTAATTATTCCTCTAATAACAATTATTATTATTATTATTATTATTATTGGTAACAAAAAACATGGGTCAATATAAAAGGAAATGGATAGGGCTGGGGATGTGGCTCAAGGGCTGGGGATGTGACTCAAGCGGTAGTGGGCTCGCCTGGCATGCGTGCGGCCTGGGTTCGATCCTCAGCACCACATACAAACAAAAGATGTTGTGTCTGCCGATAACTAAAAAATAAATATTGCTCTGTTGGAAGATGGCAGTGAACAGAGTGCATCACCCCCGTGTACCGCGTCACTGTACAGGTGAATAACGAGTTAGAATGGCCAAAAGCTATCTTGTTAGGAATTTCCAGCAAAATTGGGGTGCACCGAAACCTAGAGGAAGGATTTCCATCACCTGAGGATCAATTACTGGGGCTCAATCGCGAGTGAACCGTGCGCCCGGAGATTCAGGCTGATTGATTGGTGGCCCGCCCCGCAGCCAGAAACGGCGTGCCAGCAACACAGAGAAACAGCGCTGCGGATTCTGTGGGGTCCTGCCAACTGTGCCCTCACTGTGCTCTAGGCTGAGTTCTGGGTTTGAGACAGGGGAGAAAAACAATCCAGATCTGTCCTCCACAACGGACCAACCCACCAAGGAAGCCAGTGGCCACCATCTTGGAGAGCTGACGTCACCATCGCCAATTTCCGACAGATCGGAGCAAGTTCAGCGATAGAACAGGTGTGTGACATTTAGCCCTTCTCACATACAGCGGGGAAATCGCATAAAATCTCTCCCCGGATTTCTGGGGGCGTGATTATCAGAGTGAGCGTGAATAGAGGTGTGGGGAAAGGTAAAGGCACCTGACCTCCAACTCCCCCCTCCCACCAGTGGCGAAAACGAAACCTGTCTCGCCAGGTCTCGGAGGAATGGCTATCAGAGGGAATCAAAACAATAAGGGGCCGGTTCCCAATAGCCTCGCTCCACATCCAGGAAACTGCAGGCCCAGAGTGTAGCTTGAACTGCAGAGAGGTATCACACTGGGGAAGGCCTGTCTGGCAGGAGAAGCGAGGAGACTAGAGACCAGGAATAAACCTAAGCTAACAGGTTTGGAGAGACACCAGGTGGGGGAGGAGGGAGAGGCCTCACACGGATTGTTTCCTACAGCCGGAGGGCAAAATCTTGGCCCAGAAGGCACAGCACCACCTACTGGAAGCGAAGAAAATAGAAGCCTAACAGTGCCTTTTTTTTTTAATTTTTAAAATTTTTTAATTTTTTAATTTTAATTTTTTAAATTATTTTTTTAATTGTAATTTTTATTTTACTGTATTTTATTATTTTTTATCATTTCTTTTTCTTTTCTATTCTTTTCTCTTTCTTTCTTCTCTCCCTTTCTCTTTCTTGGTTTGCTTCCTTACCTTTTCCCCATCTTTCCTCTTAAGCATGACCACCCAGATTACATATAATTTACTAAATGCAAATAGATGAATACCACGAGTTGGTCTATAGTCCACCTAAGCCCTTAACTACCCCCAAGTACTCCTGTCTATTCTCTTTTAATATCCGCCTGCATTTGAGCCACCCCCCAAAGAAGCTAACATATACTAACCTCCATACCATCAAATTGCCCGACCTTAACATAAAATCCTAAGTTCAAATCTCAGTTCTCTATATGCCATCAAAATCTGTAGGCCTTTAATGAAACTAATGAATTTACCATAAATCATAATTAAATCCAACATCTCTGAACATTGTCTCCCACACAAAGGAGAGATATTGGAACTATAAAAACCAAAACAAATATAAAGGAGAAAACAGAAACACAGCAGTCAAACAGAGTTGGAAAGTAACGTGAGCACTATGAAAAAACAAGGGAAAAAAGGATTACAAACAATGCAGGACAACTTAAATTTACAGGAGAACCTAGAGGCATAAGACAAAGGACAGAGAAAGAACTCAAGGCATACCTAACTCAGATGGAATAGAATCTTAGAAAAGACATTAGACAGCAAGTCCAAACAATGAAAGTATACTTTGAAAACAAATTACATAAGCAAATTCAAATGGGAAAGAATGAACTCTACCAGGAGATAGAGATTTTTTTAAAAAAATCAAACAGTAATCCTAGAAATGCAGGAAACTATAAACCAAATTAAAAACTCAAACGAGAATATTACAAATAGACTAGATCAAATAGAAGTCACAACATCAGATAATAAGGACAAAGTTTATCAACTTGAAAATAATATAGTCAACACAGAAAGGATGCTAAGAAATCATGAGCAATCCATCCAAGAGATATGGGATGTCATAAAAAAACCAAACTTGAGAGTCATTGGGATAGAAGAAGGTATAGAGGTTCAAACCAAAGGAATGAACAATCTATTGAATGAAATAATCTTAGAAAACTTCCCAGATATGAAAGATGGAATGGATTGCCAAATCCTGGAAGCCTACAGGACCCCAAACATACAAAACTGTAATAGACCAACTCCAAGACACATAATTATGAAGATATCCAACATACAGAACAAGGAGAGAATATTAAAAGCTACGAGAGAAAGGAGGCAGATTACATCCAGGGGTAAACCAATTAGGTTAACAGCTGATTTTTCATCACAGACGTTGAAAGCGAGAAGATCCTGGAACAACGTATTTCAAATGCTGAAAAATAATGGATTCCAACCAAGAATACTGTATCCAGCAAAATTAAGCTTCAGATTTGACGATGAAATTAAAATATTCCATGATAAAGGAAAGTTAAAAGAATTCG